CAAAAGGCTTCCTGGATGGGAGGCGAAATGTCTTCAAACTTGGAAACAAAGTCCAGTGGAATGTGGTTTAACTTTTTTTGGAAGGCACCATATTTTTAGAAACTAAGAAGATATGAAAATATATTACTATTAACAAAATATTTTATAAAAATTCTTCATGCACATTTCTCTTAATATTTTAGCTAAATTTCTCTTAGTGAGCAGTGCAGATTATGACAAAGTGAAAGTCTGTGTCCAAATATCTATCAAGGTGACATTGGAGCAAAGTAATAATAAATGTTCCATTGTATGTTTATAGTTCTAAAAGTTATAAATCTAAGCAGGCATCTTTGAGGACTGGAGTTGATTATCACAAGGTGTTGATTGGTGATGCCTGTTTAAATTTTCTGGTCTCTTACTGAACTTTGACATAAAGAACTAAAATATCCTCTCTCTAAAAATTCACATCATGCTTCTGTGTCTCTGATAAACAGGAATGCACTGTAGGTATTCACCTACCTCCAATGACATCACACCGAGAAGCCATCTCCCAAAGGACCATAGCCATGGAGTACACATCCATCTGTTTAAAGGCCTCGAGGTCCTCCAGGTTCACTCTGGATTCGAGTACCTCAGGGGCCATGTATCGTGCTGTTCCTACCTAGATAAAAAGAATTATGGGAGTTACCTAATTGTATCAAGTATGCATAAAGCGTATTTGGTGGGATTTCGGTTCTTCATGTGGAGGGAGCAAGTAAGGTGCAACAGTAGAGGTACCTGGTAGCAAGCTTTAGCTTAATCAATATGCAGCATAGAACTCACACACTCTGGCAAGGATTTGTTATAAGAGAATTTGAAAAATGGATACCCATGTCCACACGCTTATGACCACACTTAGCTGGCAGTTCTCCAAGAAATTTCTTGTAACAGTGTTGGTACTGATGCTGCTCTCCGTCAACCAAATTGATCTGATAAAGCACCTGCAACAACCTATTAGCTATCTCCAAACTAATAAGTACATTGCCATGATCGGGTATTTTGCAGAGAAGCTTTGGTATCAATCTGCCATCTGGGAAGAAAAACACACAGCTCCAAATTGTGCATATTATTGCACTGATGTCAGGAGAAGTTGTGAGGCTTTAACATTGTATTTCGAAGCTCAAATCTATTTTTCAGATCGAAACTAGACATTGAATTACATAAAATGTTCAATAGGGGAAATTTTACAGAATGTAAGGAAACAACCAAGTGCAGATGTAACACCTGAGGCTCTTTAAGAGTTAGCATGAGTAATAAAACATCTTTGGTTGGTACTGCAGGGTGTGGCTCTTCTGGCCTTGATATTGAAATAAGAATGGGGCTTACTATTTCAGAGCTACTAGAACTTTTTTGAATATATAAAAGAAATGTACACTTTGGCTATTTATTTGCAGAGCATCAGTCATGAGTGGTTTAAAGGATTAGCAAAGTTACCACAAGACAGTGTGACAAGAAAGGCACAATAATCACATCAGTAGATCAAGTAGTTTTAATTTGACCTTCAGAATCTTTGATAAAATAAGTAGCATACAGGGGATGCACTGTTTTGAGTCACAATTTACCACAAAAACATCCTAATCTGCACACTTACCTGTCCACTGTTGGCATAGTCATCTACTGTTAGGGAGAGATCAAGCCGCAAAGCAAGACCAAAGTCACACAGGGCGCACTCCTTTCTGTTCTTTACCACAACATTGCTGCTCTTTATGTCACGATGGGCAACAGGTACCTACAGCAGCACAAATAAGACACAATCACCAGCCATTCCTAATCACCTTTATCCTAAAGACACCTAATCACCCTTTTTTTTTTTTTTTACCTTACTTTAAACAAACAGGTAAAATAAATGAGCCTGGCCTAATGTAATTGTACTTGTGGTGATGGTTTCTCATGGTATTAGCTCACATTTCTTTTGGCCCAGAAGATCAATGGTAAAGTTTTAGATCACTAATCCTTGTTCACAGATCCAGATCAACCTGGTTTTTCGACTTTTAATAGACTATTTTCTTGCACAACAAAAGATTATCATTGAATAGCCTCTCTGTAGGTCATGGTATCAAGAGTTCATAATTTAAGTTTACCTTTGGTATTCCATTGGTTGTTGTGTCACTGTGAAGGTGAGCTAATCCTTTGGCAATGCAACCTGCCAAGGCAATCAGCTCCTCCCAGCTTACTATGTTAGACGTAAGGAAGTCCTGCAGATTTCCAAGGCTGTAGTAGGCCAAGACCAACCAGTAGGTTTGGAGAGTGCTACTTGGTATCTCTTCGGCTCCAAGGAACTGAACTAAGTTGTCATGGTGCAGCGTAGAGTCAGAGAAGATAGAGCACTCGTTTTTCCAAGAGGCATATTCCTTACTCGGGAACACCTTTACAGCCACAGTTTTATACCGGTTGACTCCCCCTTTCTCACTGTGCAGCTGCCGTGCCCTCCACACCTCAGCAAAGCGTCCCTTCCCCACCATTTGATCCAGTTTGATGGACAGGAGGTCATCCCTTTGCAAATCTGACCTATAACTGATGTCATTTCTTAGACTCAGCTCTTTGGTATGAAAATCCTCCTGTTCGATATCAAGATCCTCTCGTCTTTTTTCTCCTCCTTCGTCTCTTGGCACTGGTCCACCGTGTGGTACGGCCAAGGCCTGATAGAGCTCTGGTGTGGGTTTGGAAGGCCAATCATGGCGGCGTATCCGGTAGAAATAGAAGGCAGCAGTGGCCACTATGACTATGAGGACGAGAGGTACCAAACTGATGACTACCACTCCAATCACATCCTTATTTTGCAACCCAGAGAAACCTGTAGACACAATAGAAGTGAATCTATCAAGGAAAATTGCCATTCCATGTTTTATCTTTTTGGTTATGGTCCTTCAATCTTTTTTACAAATTAATTTATCCAGTATCACACCAATTATGTACAATCATTAAAATTCTTTTCCTTTCCTGCTACATTCATTAAGCGATATTCCCTTCATCCATTGCTCACCACTGAATCCCTTGCTAAAGATGAGCCTGTCATTACATTCCTCTTCGCCTTGGCATCCACAGACCATCATGGTCCCTTTCACTGAAGGCTGATGGACCATGGCACATTTTCTGGAGGTGAAATTCAGCAACAATGCTGGGTCAACGCCATCTAGGGGCACTTTGGGGTCATGGCACATCGTTTGCACCTTCACTGAGTCATTTGTCTTCCTCCTGCAAGTGTAGAAAACATCTTCATGTGACTTCCAACAGCTTTAAAATGAAATTTCTTTTCAAAATGACTATAATTGCTATAAAAAAGATAAACTGACGTTGTTTATTTAAAACGATAAATCATGCTAATGCAATTTTAATCCATATTAATTTAGAATCCTGTTAGAGGTATACATTAAAGCCTCATTCAGACCAAGAACATGCTAAGGTGCAATGTGAGGGGTATGTAATGTGCGAGTTATATAATAAAAGCTCTAGAACCAAAGCAAAAATATCAAAACTGTGTCCAAAAAGTTAAACAGTCACTTCTTCAATATGCTGACTGAAATATGTGCTATATATGCTTTGCACTGTACAATGGCCTCCAAAGCTATCTAAACTAAGAAATTAATTTGACAAATATATAAAAGGTAATCATGAACAAGAGGGTAAAAAGGACAATGTTGAGATAAATAATAAATAGTGCAACAGCCTTTTCAGTAGATGTCAATGTAAATCCAGTGAGAATCAAACATATAGGCCTACATATTTCTTTAGAAACACTTAAAATCAAATTTAAATCAAAATCAAATTGTGATGTATATCCTCTGAGAAAGATTTCTTTATGCTGTCAAGATAAACTCTTCATTTTAGGTTCTCTATTTTTGCTCTTAGCTCCTTCTTATCTCCACTTTTCTGTGGGAAGCCCTGGTGATCTGGACTGGCTTAAGCAGGAAATGAGGAAAAAGGGCAGGCTAGGGAATCCCTGTGTAAGATCGTTATCTAAACAAAGTCGGTTTTCTTTTACTTTGCATGCGTATAAACAGGACAAACAATCTCAAATGACCGAACTTCAGCTTTATTTCATCTTCTTATGATAGTCAGTTGTGTGATTGATTATGCTGGTCAACACCATGGTGAAGAAGCTAAGTGGAGCTGTTTTTATTCTCTGGCTGTTTGGACTGGTGCAAATGGAGAAAAAAATAAGTGCTCCATTTTGGTGTTCCTCAACGCTACAAAAGGTATTTTTATTCCATCTTTTTTAAACACTATAAGTAAATTATAACATAAACAATCTAGACAAGACAAACACCAGCTTAGAGTAAATGAAAACAATGATCTAGTGTTTAACCTTGGGGCCAAAAACTGCAGTCATGCATTTCCAATAACTGGCAACAGACTGTTTTCATTGCCTAGTGAAAGCCCAGACCTGGACTTTTAGTTGGCCATTTAAACACTTAGAGGCTATTCTTAATTTTTTTTTTTTTTTTTTTTTTCATATACAGTAATCACCAATAAAAACAAAGTTGTGCAGTTTTTACCTTATCTTGAAATGCTGGTGAAAATTCTTAGTCCTCCATTTTTAGTAAAGGCTGAACTGCTTTGTACACTCATGGTATATATTTACACATTTGTTTCTGTTTTTTACTAATGTGCACAAACACTTGATAAATATGCTTCAGGCTGCATATTAGTTTTGACACAGACACACCAGAATTTTACCACAGAGGGAATAAAATTATTCGGTTGCTATTTATTTAGTCCCTTTATTAAAGCTGCTAGAAGAAGCAATATAAAAGCAAACATGCTTATACAAATTTCAATAAGCATCAGAATACAATGAGGTTGGTTATTTAAAGTTTTAGTCATGAGATAAGATTAATTTATGATGTAGATGAATACCAGCCTAATAAGTGATTTCCTCTCTGGTCCCGAGTAATTGTTGACTTGTGACATCTAATTTAATGTTTAACATTTTCTAATCAGACAGACAATTATGTTGAAATTCTAGTATTTCAATTTATAAGATAAAACAAAAACACATATAAATACTACAATTTAAAAATAATACATCTGTGCAGAAGAAACACTGTTTCATATCAACTTTGAAATAAACATATAAAACCAATCTTTAAAATAGGTAAGCATTTGGTAGGATATGGTAGGATAGGAAAAAGCTCTTCAACTGGAAATATCAACAATTTTCTTGTGATTTGATAGCAATACACCCACAATAACATTACTTAAGTAAAAGTAAAATGTATAGAAAAGTAAAACTACTCCCAAAACTACAATAATTTCGAAAACTCACTCAAGTAATTTAAATGAGTAAATGTACCAACCACCTCTGAATATATACACATTTGAATAAATATTTGAAAATTATAAACCTGAACTTTGTAGAATGTGTTGTACCTTAAGTCAGCTTAAGCTTGTTAATGATTCTAATTTCTGTGATTAGGTTTTGGTTTTAGTTAAAAGTTTCCTGAAATGGAATTTGTTAATAAGCTGGAAAAGGTCATTTCTCAATATATCTAGATAATGAGATCTTTTTCTAAAATAACTAAAAGTTGTTTGAATGTGTTGTCTCCTGTGCGGCAACCAAATTCCAATATTTTCTGATGAATGTTAGGAATCCTGTCTGTGTGGTTTGTGTTTTGTGTGTTTGTCTTCCTTCCTCCACCAGGCAGCGCCTGGTCCGGATTCACCTCCTCACACACCTGCAAAGGGTGTTTGGTGGTTTTGGGTACTCTAGCCAAGCTGAGTTTTGCTCAGTCAAACTGAGTTTTTTGTCAACCTGAGTTTTAATCTTGCTATTTTTGTCTTTGCCTCTCGGCAGGAAGTCATCCTGCAAACTGGAAGTTTCGGACCTTCTCTCCCTGGAAGGATCAACTCAGCCTCAAACTGAGCTGGGGATTCAAACTAGAGGTCTGGATCCACTTTTCTCCAAGGGATCGTTTGAGTTTCACACTGAGCAAGGGATTAATCTGCACCACAGTCCGTTCAAGTACCGCAGGACATCTCAGTGGCAGTCAGTTTCTCCGTTCTCCTACAAACAACCGCATTCTGGGTAAACCCTGTCCGCCCTCCACCGAATGAGACAAACACTGGAACACCCCACACCGACCGGAGTCAAAGAGTCAATCACTTTTCTGGAAACGTGAGTCTGCGAACCTTTTCTCCTCTTCAAGTTCGAGAATCAATTTTCCCACTGAACCCGAACTAACCGCAGTGTCTTCCCCTCACCTTTCAGTTCCGGTTGAGCAGTGCTCAGAGCAATACTGGAATCTCCACAAGCTTCTCAATAAACCTGTTAAACTTTTACCCTGGTCTCTCTGTAATGGTTTCTCTGCATGTGGGTCCGAGCTCTTGATAAAATCATGACAATGAAAGCAAATTGCCAGATTGGATGAGAACCATTCAGACCCCCCAAGGATACCAGTCTTTATTGGCACAAAAAAACTATTGCTCCACTATTGTCATTTCAAACCAATAACTGACAGGTTGGACAAAACTTGGTGTTCAGAAAGGAACTCAGTGTTTTTCCAACTGTTTTTGGAATAAGTGGATTTAAAGCTGGTCTACCAAAGCTGAACAAAAAACTCCAAACACGTTAACCAAACCACTTAATGAAGAAGAGTGGTCAAACATACAGAAAAAAAAAAAAAAAAAACCTTGCCAAGGAATATTAAGCTCAACATCAGAAAACATGTTTGAGACGTGGTTTGGGGTTTATAGACACTCAGTGAAGGGATATTACTGAATAAGGCTTAAAATAAGTGTGTGGGGGAAAAATACGGCACAGTGCAGAGTACTGAAGAGCCTCACCAAATAGAAACACAGATTTCTGTATCAGATTCGCAGGTGGAGGTCAGGTTGCAGTTGCTGAAACAGATGTGGTCTTTGCACCGAGGTGTGGAAGCATCGCACCACTTACACAACACATATGCTCCTAAAGAGTGGACAGCACCTGGAAGACCAGAGGGAGAGAACATTGAAGTGATATGATGTAGATTGTTTGAACAACAGAAAAATTTAAAGCCTTAGGGTTCATGAAATGCAGTGCAGTATGAGTCCAAACATCTGCAAAAACTATGGAAACACGCCTAATGTAGTTTTTTTTAGTGACTTCAGCATTTGATTTTAACTTCTCCTTGTTAGGATTCCAGTTTGTGTGGGTTGTTTGTGTGTTTTCCTCTCTCCACCACCAGGTGGTGCCCTGTCCTCGTTGGGTCTCCCTGCACACCTGCGGCTCGTTGGGTCATTACCGGAGGAGTACTTGAGCAGCGGGCTGTCACTAACTCGACGCCAGAGTGTTTTTCAGTTTTGGGTACTCTAGCTGAGCTGAGATTAGCAGAGTCTAAACCTTAGCATTGTTTCTTTGAGTCTTATCTCGTTTTTTGTCTTTGCTCTTCGGCAGGAAGCCTTCCTGTGTAACTGGATAGCCTGGTCCTTCTCTCCCTGGAAGGATTTACCGAGTTCACACTGAGTAGGGGAAAATCTCCACACGATCCGTTCAAGTCTTCATCTGGAAAACCAAGTGACAGTCCGCTCCTGTACTCCTCTGGGTCCAACATGTGTCTGCCTGTCCGAAAAACAGGCTAATCTCAAACATCTATAAGCAAAGGTGTTGATGGCAGCAGCACAGCTGATATTTCTCTCCAGGGTGGTGTCACAGCCAAACAGGAACATTTGAGGCTAAGCCAATATGAGAAAGATCTACATCTTTCATCAGTAAAATAGATTGGAAATTATCCTTCAAAGTAAACAAAGAATAAAAAGGTTTATTCATCATTAAATGTTATGTTGAATAAATTACTGGTTATAAACACTATTCAGACTTTTTTTTGTTTTTGTTACTCTCTATGTACCTGTTTTATCTGTTTGTTTAATTTTGTAGCCTTTCAGTTCTGTGTTAAAGAGTTGCGATAAAAAAAACAAACTCCAAAACACATGAACCCAGATTAACTTTTAGTGCCAGGCTCTGTCCTCTCCAGCGTCTTAAAGAGAGCCAAGAAATCCTCTCTGCGCTTCTTCTCTACAAGTGGCATTTCATACACACACATACTTGCTCTTTGTTAGATGTGAGATAATGCAGGGCTTTTAAGGATGAACCGTACATTGAATGGAGGATCCTACATTTCTACAGTCAGGAGGCTTTTCTCACCGAAGCACGAATGGACTCAAAAGCACCAGTTAGTCGACCTAAAAACTGTTACAGTTTAAAAACTACAGACTGAATTATGTTGCATTATTTGACTATTTTGTGATTGTAAATAAAAAGAAAAAAAATGAAAATTAAAAAATATGAAAAAAATGGAATCAAGACATTAAACTTTAAAAGAAAAAAATGACTTAAAAGATGTTTTGAGAGTAATGTTGTTTTTTGTCTTGGATTTTTAAATTTATTTTTTGGTTATTTTTTCATGTGATATTTCCTGTTTGTATTTGTTCAAACTTTATGTGTTACGTTTTCTTTTTTTTTTTACAAATTTTATATTTTCATCCATACAGACCAATCTATACAGAAACACATCTCTGTCCTTATTCGAGAGGGTAACAAAAAAGAAAATAGAATATCTGAAAACAAATTTTGAAAACCTAAAATAAAAAATTATGTAAAAGAATAGCATATAAAAATTCAAATATATATATATATATATATATATATATATATATATATATATATATATATATATATATATATATATTTATATTGAGAAAACACCAAAGTTCCTCTCCAAACCTTTTTTTCATCCAGATATTTTTCAGTTTTATTTCTAAATTGGTTTTTTGTCAAAGCTTTATTTACAAGCGTGTTGTTTGCTTGAAACAATAATGGAACAAAATTCACTTCATAGAAACACTAACATTAGTTTGATTTTAGACCTAACTTTGCAAACATGCTCATCAGAGATGGGAATGTTGCATGTTTGGCTTCCATTAACATCCAGTGGTGTGGTCACCAGAAAGCCAGAGTGGATGAGGAGTGGAACTATAAGACATTTCCCCCTAAAATCTTGCTTCTTCAACCCACAGATGACTAGTGTGCCCGCTTGTTGCCAAATTCAGGTTAGATGGACCCTACTGCTGCAGAGACCCACCATCATGGTGTGGGAAGCTGTAGAGTTGGATATAAGGTAGCATCTTTACAGCAAAGCAATAAGTGAGTGAGGCTGATCAGACATTTTAGGACAATCTATCAAGAAGGGGGTGGGTCTTTATAGACTGCTTGAGTAATGTTAGCATGTTCTGTACCCTCAGTAGATATCAGGTTTACACCCCCACGGTGGTCTGCTGGATCTCTTGGGGATTTTCATTAGTTGGGGATCAATATGCACCAGGCTAAAAGCTGTGTCCAGCCCTGAGAGGACGCCACGCCCCGCTGATACTGGAACAAGGGGTGTGGCCACACCACCAAACTATGCAGTTTCCCAGCATTCAGTCTGTTTTGTTTGTGTTTTTTTTTTTTGTCCTGAGCAAGTGGTTAAATGGGTGTGACATTAAAAGCACCAAATTACGATATAAATGAAACTTTAGTAACCTTGGATTTATTGCTCAGTTCCAACAGAAACAAATGTAAGTGAACCATAATGGAGCCACTAACTATGAAACAACATGCAGTCATGTTGTTGAGGGTTAACTTAACTAATTATCTATCATCAATATAAAGAAAAACAGGCATGAACATTCCTTTGTTGTCTCTGCTGGGACTTTTATGAATAAGGAATACTTCAGTTAATCACTGCTTATATAATTCAGGATCTTATTTAATTAATTTGTTCACTTTTTAATGTTTTTTTTTTTTAATGGAACGGTTAGACGTGCATTAAAAATATTTCAGTTTTTTTCTTTTTAGTAACACTGTTTTTTTAGCTCTGCCTTGTAATTTTTATGTATCCATCTGAGGACATTTGATAGGCAACAGAGTTATTTCATCTTATCATTTTGCTGTGATTAGAAATTCCAGACTAGCTAGCTAACAGAGCCCCACTGTAGCAGTGATGATCTGTCACTGCTAATTGTTATTTTATTAAATAAAACTGTGTAACAAAAAGCTTTATGTTAAAAGACTGCCTATGATAATCTGACACCATAGATTGTGGAGACAATGCTGTGATAAAGTATTTGCTCTCCCACAGACTTGGCCTGTAACAGGACAAAGAACCAGAAATGAAGACAGGCTGTGTAAATAAATTGGATTTAATTTAATTTGGGGGTAGAAGGATTAACTATGAGTTGATGTGCAAAAAAAAAGTTAGGTGAACAGAGTATTGAAAGACATGTAATGTCATAAAAATAGCTAAAATATAACCTGTCTAACAACAAAAATAGGTTAAAAGTTAAAAAGAAAAAGTTGTTAAAAAGACACATATTATACCTTAATAAACAAAAAGAGTCAAGAGTGGATAAAACAGTCACTGACATCAGCCTGGCATTGTTTACAAAGTCATCTCTAAGACCACTGGACTCCAGCCACAATGAGATGTATTATCAGTCAATAGAAATAATATGGAATAGTTTAAAACCTTCTTAGGTGTGGCTGACCAACCAAAATTACTCCAGAAGCAGATCCCAGACTTATGATGGAGGTCACAAAAACAACATAAAAAAAATCTGTTTTTTCATGACTCAACAATATGAAAGAATCTGGGTAAAATCTGCACTAACAGGGTTTTTAATGGGAGAGTAGCTGCTGATTTAAAACATCTACAGTAAAAGGCCAAAATATCTTGATGTTCTGCAGGTTTTCTGGGGAAATAAGCAAAGGTGGCTTTTAGAAATATGTGATATCTTATGCCCCGTCCACACAAAGCCGAACCCTGGCCTAAACACACAAATTTTTCACCAAACCAGCCTCTCATCCACATGAAGCCGGCGTTTCGGGGTCTGTAAACAATCTTTTTTTTATTCAGCCTTCAGAGTGGGAAGATTCTGAAACGCCGTTTTCGCGTTTCCATCTTTAAGCTCTAACCGCATTTTTTTTTACACGCATGCATCATAGCGTCGCCTCTAAACACGCATGCGCGACACAGTATCACAACAACAATGGCGCCGTACTGTGTTGAATGGTTGCTGCTAATGCTACTCACCCTGCTGTCGGGCTTACAACAGAATCTTCTTCTTCTGGAATATCTCCAGGAAGAACAGAGCAATATTGAAGACATAGTTCAGCACCTGAATTTGACTGAACCACGAAAATGGACCCGCAGGGCAACCATGTATAAATATTAGTGCACATGCCCAACATTTCGTCGCTTATTTTTGCTTTGGCACCACAGCGCCACTTACAGGCCTGGCATACATTTTGCAGCGTTTTCATGCATTCGTGTGGACGATCACATTTATTTTACGTCTCCGTCTTTACGACAAACCTTTTGGAAAATATCAGCGTTTCGTGTTCGTTTTGACTTCGTGTGGACGGGGCCTAAGATCAGGGCTGCACTGTGAGGCAGTTTGTAACACCGTTGCCTTGCAGCAAGAAGGTCCTTAGTTTGATTGTTGACCTATGGTCGTCCGTAAAAGTTTAAAAACAATCCCCTGGACTTGGTTTCCAAGGTTTAAGACATTTCGCTTCCCCTCCAGAAACCTTGGAAACCAAGTCCAGTGGATTGTTTTTAAATTTTTACGGAATGACTATGACCTGGATGACTGAGAATCCTCATCAGCAGACCTAGGGTCTTGCATCTGTGCTTGGGTTCTCTCCAGGAACATTGGCTTCCTCCCACATCCCAAAAACATGACTGTTAAGGCTAACTGGTGTCTCTAAATGGCCCTCAGGTGTGTGTCCATGACAGTGCCTCTGCCCTGTGATAGACAGCGACCTGTCCAGGGCGCACTCTGCCTTTCATCCATAGACTGCAGAAGACACTGCTCGAGAAGTAGAGGGAGAAAAGAAAAAGAAAAGAGATTTCCCAATATAGCTGAATAAAAAATATATATATCTGCAAAGAACAGAGCAGTGTACAAGTTCGAGTGTCCATTATTGTAACCTGGGGGAATTTATTGCCACTAAAGGAAAACAACTAGTGGTCTGGTTCACTCAATGATCAACTTAAAGCTGTTTTTTTAGTCTGGTTTTGCTTGTCTGACTATATCATTCCCACACCTTAACGTTGGTAGATCTACTGCACTTTCATTCATTTTTTCATCCGAAGACAATAACAAATCTTTAATTACAACAAATTATTGAATGATTAAAGTACATTTACCTAATTTATGTAGTTTTATCCGATCAGTTCTTGTTCAGGTTCTGGTCATTATTAAATCTTGTTTTTCTTTTCTTGCTTTCCAAAGTTCATGGGCATTTGCCCTGACAGATGGCAGTCAAGGTTTAGAGCACCTGGATAAAAGCTGATTGGACAGAACCAACAGCTCCTACTCGTTGAAGTCCCTGATAGAGCACTTTGCTCTCAATCTGCCGGTTCACTAGTGGTTCCTAGAATTTCTAAAAGTAGAATGGCTCCTCTCCTGTGGAACCAACCACCAGTTTTACACCCTATCTATTTTTAAGGGTAGGCTTAGGTTATCCTGAACTATCTCTATAGTTATGCTGGTATATCTATAGCTTAGACTGCTGGAGGAAATAGGGACCCCTTTTTCATCATTCTGCTTCATTCTATCTCTATTCTCCCATTCTGCAGAATCTGTTAGTTCATCTCTAACGTTATGCTCTCTCTGCTTTTTCTCATAGTAGCTTTGCCTTGCTGTTCCTGTTTGGCTGTGACTCCATCCAGGAGAGAAATATCAGCTGTGCTGCTACCATCAACACCATGGTTTATAGATGTTGGAGATCGTTTTTCAGTGCTGTCCTGTTTCTCTGGATGTGCTCTCTTCATCCTCGTCTGCCTGGCTGTGTGTTTCCTGGACGAGGCCGTCTTTTAAAGTTGCTTTTTGTATCTCAAGTGTTCTTGAACCCCCAGTCAGCCTCGGCAAATGGCCGCTCACACTGAGCCTGGTTCTGCTGGAGGTTTCTTCCTGTTAATACAGAGTTTTTTCTCTCCACTGTCACTACAGGTATGCTTAGTGTGAGGGATTGCATTCGAGTCAATGAGTCGATGCAATCAACTGGTTTTCCTTAGATAGAAAACTTTGAATCAATTTAATTGTATGATCTGGTGAACTGTGAACTTCCTTGAGATGACGTGTTGTGAATTGGAGCTACATAAATAAACTGAACTGAATTAAATTGAATTAAATTCAGTTCATTCTTACCTCTTTTATGAACTCAGCCTTTCCTTTTGTAAATCAAACTCTTTGAGTTGAAATATTGAAGACATGTTTTTCTAATAATACCTGTGAATCTTCATTCCTTTCCACTCTTTCCTACAGTTTTATCAGAATAACCACAACAATGAAGTTTGAGAAACAAGCAAGAATGGATAAAATCTGTAGGAGGGCAACTACTGCTTTTAGACACGGAAGGCTATAAACAGAAATAAGGAAAAGCTTTGTGGACCTTCTATTGTGAAATCTCATGTTCTGATATAGCTTTAAAGTGAGCAACGCCCCAGGAAAAGATGAAAAAAACAAAGACTGTGATAAAGTATAAATTAAACAAAAAACGCTTTAAAGGAAACATGTTTTATTTTGCTCCAGTAAAGAGATCATTTAGGAGAGAAAAGTAAACCAGCCTACAAGTCCTGAATGTTAAATATGTTACTGTTAACAGATCAAGTACATAATGCTGACTGCAGTACTTTTACTCTTCAACACTTTAACTTTAAACTTGACTGAAAATAGGTTAACAGAGGCCTACTTTTAGGATTTTCTAAATATTCTGCTTATTGAATAAAATTTGAAAAAAGAAGAAAGTTTACTTTACTCAAGCTTTTAATTAAATAAAAGGCAGGGGAAACTGTTCCCTTTCCAAAACAAAGCGACCCCCTCCTCATCCAGCCCCCCGAGCCTGGCTGTCTTTAAATAACTCAGAGGAAAAGAGATAAAAAGCTCCCAACTGGCAGAACTCACCGGCTGCCAGGAGGACCAGGAGCTCGGTCAAATGCGTCCAGCACCGAGCCATGTTGTGTGGGAGGAATCCAGTCTTTGTGTGGTTAGGTCTACATGTTCTGCCTCTATGTGAGCAGAGGGAGAGGGAGACGTCCAGATGTTTCTCATCCAGATGGGGTTTGGCCCCGCCTCTTTCATTTCTCCACATGTGTGACATGAGCGAAGGAGCCCCAGCTGACATGTTGGCTCCACGTAGATCACCAAGCTGCTATTAAAGCTGCTATTTCCTCATTTTAGACTAAAAGGCAAAAAGGAAAACCTTATCTAGCAACAAAACTTTCATCTGATTTGTTTTAACATACATAAAAAAGGAAAAGCTATATCTCTAAATTCCTATTTGGGTCTTTCCAGAATTTTAGAACAATTTAAGTTCCAATAGTTAAAAATATGTGGGGTTTTTTTTGGTTTTTTTTTCTGCTTTCACAAAAAACATGAAAGTAATGAACAAAAATTTTCCCATAGTATAGGAATAGGTAGATTTCTTTTATTACATTTCAGGAGGACAGTTTAAAGTCATAGAATGTTATTTAAGATTATATTAATATGTGGTGAAAAGGGTTAAAATTACTTATTTGAAGTATTTGGACATTATATTTGAATTTAAAATATAATGCAACTGACAAAAAGGAATAGTTAGAATCACAGTAATGTTCTAAACAATATTTAACAAATCCTCCTCTGAAAGGATAAACAGGACGGCTTGTTAAAAACATTAAATATGACAAGAGGAGTTCAGTCTGGATCTGGTACAACAGGATATAAATCAATGCTAATGAAGTTTTTTATCTAATCACACCCTAGATGTGCTTTACTTATTTACTGACAAACAATTTTAGAGCATAATTATTAAAATATGGAATATGCCTGTGATAAAACTACCGTAAATATGTTAATAAATGCATTGAATAGATATAAACAATATAAAAAAAAAATCTGATTTGAATCAGATCTATGAAGGATGGACGAGAGCAAAAACGCCACGATGGAGTCTTCAGCTCTTTAGAATTTATAAAGGTATTTAGGAATTAGTTTTACTACAGTTACTTATTGTGTCAGAAAAAAACACTTCTCAAAAAATAAGGAACACTTAAATAACATCCTAGATTACATGTTTTCATTGAATATTTTGTTTTGTATAAAGTTGAATGTGCTGACAACAAAATCAGACAAAAATCTGTAACGGAAATTACATTTTATTAACCAATGGAAGCCTGGATTTGGAGTCACACACAAAATTAAACTTTGATGTAATGCCTTTAAAACAAATCAAAATAATTCCTCTCAGACCTGGACTAAGACATCCACCAACTCCTTGGCAGTCTGTGATGCAACCTGACGTTGGTGGATGGATGGATGGATGGATGGATGGATGGATGGATGGATGGATGGATGGATGGA